TTTGGCATGGTACATGTGTGTTTCAACCATAACCTTAATATTTATATAGATGTGGAATATATAGGATAAGATATAGGCTATATAGGACAGTATACACAGGTTACATTGTTGTTTTTAGGTGTCATCAAGTCAGCCCCTGACTCATGGTGACCCATATGTACACCAGAAGGAAATGCTTCTTGGTCCTGTGCCATGAACAGCTACAGATAAAAACACTGTGATTCATAGGGTTTTTCATTGGCTGATTCTCAGCAATAGATCCCCAGGCCTTTCTTCCTAGCCTGGTGACGCTTTCTTCTTAGTCTGGAAGTTTTCTGAAATTTACTCAGCATCATAGCAGCATGCAAGCCTCCACTGACAGATGGGTGGTGGCTGCACATGAGATGCATTGGCCGGGAATTGAACCCAGATCTCTCTCATGGAAGGCAAGAATTCTGCCACTGAACCACCACTGCCTCATAGGATAATAAGTATATCCAAAACCAAACCAAACTCACTGCCGTCAAGTCGGATCCGACTCATAGCAACCCCTCCTTGGGTTTCCGAGGCAGTATCACTACGGAAGTAGATTGCCCCAACCTTCCTTCTGAGGAGTGGCTTGTGGGCTTGAACTGCCAGCCTTCTGGTTAGCAGTCAAATACCTTAGGCACTACGCCATCAGAGCTCCCAATAAATATATAGGATGATCCTTATTATGGTACTTAGAGTAATACAAATATAACTTCCTATAGTTGGGCACCTCAAGTGCACAGGCATGCCTGTACCAGATATCTGTAAGCACCTAAAGACTAAACAAGGGAATGACAAAAGCATGGCCTGCTAGAAATGTCATCCTTGTCATGTACTGACATGAAGCAAACACATTCGGGAGAAACAGTCTTTTTGTTTAAAATAGAAACTTTGAAGGAAGCCAAGTTCTCCTGGAAGAAGGCAAAATAGGGAGAAAAAAAAAAAAAAAAATTGAAATGAGAATTGCTGGTAACCAAAAGTCACGTTTCCTTCTTGTCAGACTTCTCCAGCCAGGCTGGGCGCTACCCGAGTAGGCGATTTCACTTCATCATCACTTGACAAAAGACTTCCAAATTCACTGCGGCAGACACGGCAAAATAAAAATGTTAAATACCTCCTAGTATGGGAGGGGACTAAGCCTCCACGCTCAATCAAAGGTTTGCAATAATAGGATTCACAGAAAGAAAAAAAAAAAAAAGACAGATGGGATTAGAAAATGTTGCAGTGAAGACTCTGGAATGAGATGAGATCAGAGCTGAGCCTGTCTTTTGTGGCCTGCACAATGATCCCCGAGCCAGATTGGATTAGGAAACCTCTCGACTAGGGCTTCAGAACGAGGTCCCCCGTTCCCAGCACTTTGGGGAGAGACAGAGGGCACGATGCATCAGATTTACAGCTGCAGTGACGAGAATATAGAAGTTTTCACCACCGTGATTCCTTCCAAGGGTGAGTAAAATTGCCCTTGACTATGCTCCTTGGATGTGACTACATAGTATGCAGGAGGCTCAGGATAATCCCACACTGTTTTACTGCGTGTTAGTCTCAGGGTTCTGAGAGCTGACGGGTTCTCTGTTTTGGTGGTTCGATTTTTCTTCTTCTTTTTTTTTTTTTTCATTTTTTTCTCTGAAAAGGAGGCAGTTAGATAAACATCAATCATTGAGAAATAATCCATCTGAGGAAAATGGTCCCTGTTTCACTTCATTCAATGTCAGCAACCCAGTATACCAGTAGTGACAGCAAACTGTGAAAGTGACAGCAAGCCATTGTTTCAGGAAACAGAGAAGAAAACAAATTTCCCAGAGCAGCCAGATAGGGTCTTTCATTTTCTCCAGTGGCAAGTGGTTTCTGAAATGAGAACCAGCTGGCTCAAAGTATGATTCCAAACACTGCCATGTAATGTGAGGAGAAATCCTCCCAGCAGTGGCCTGAAGTCAAAAGAAGCAGTCAGGTTGTCCTCTGACCCCAGTTCAGCCTGTCCACAGAACCTCAGAGCCACCCTCCCAAACTTAACCTGGAACTAGAGCCACCAGAAAAGTGTGATGGGAGACTCTTAATTTATAAGTCCTTGTGCTCACTGGTGAACTGTGTCCAGTCTCAGGAAGGGGCTTTGAATGTGGACTCCAAGGGCCTGGTTCTGGAAAGTTCCTTTGCCCCTCTAAAGGTAGTCCTCTCTCCATCCTTGCCCTGCAGACCTGTCTTCCCCAGAGAGCCTGTGACTTGGCTTAGCCCCTGGTCTCATTGTCAGGCATGAATGAAGTGGGTTGGATGTTTGCTGGTGTTGTGACTCCCCATTCAAAGAATTCCTTTCTTTCTCCCTCTAGTATCAGCCACCAACAGAGCCATTGCTGAGGGGAGGGGACGCCTCTGAGCCTGGTCACAAAGAGATGTACAGAAGAACATAAATTAAGCTTTAGACATCTATTGCCAGAGAGAGAAAGAGAAAAAGAAGCTAGGTGCCTGCCTATGTGCAGGAGTTGAAATTCTCTCTAGGGACTCTTAAAAAGTCCAAAATAGTCTAGAAACTCCAAGATGACCTCTGACCAAACAGTGCTACTTTTGGATAAATTTTAAAAAACTCAAACCCATTGCCATGGAGTCAATTCCAACTCATAGTGACCCTATAGGACAGAGTAGAACTGCCCCATACATAGGGTTTCCAAGATTGTAATCTTTACAGAAATAGGCTGCCTCATCTTTCTCCCATAGAGCACCTAATGGATTCCAATCACTGATTTTTTTATTAACAACCAAATGCTTTAACCACTGTGCCACCAGAGCTCCTTGTTTTGATAAATAGCCCAGGGAAATTCAGACACATGAGTGTTCATGGGGCACTGATTCTAAAAGGGAAAAATTGAAAAAAACAAACCTAAATATCAGTTAAGAAGAGAATGGATAAAACAGGGTGTTGTCATAACTATGGAATACTTCACAGTTATCAGGAAGAATGAACCAGATCTATGTCTATGGACACACATAGATCTCAAGAGCATACTGTTGAGTGAAAAAATCAGGCTGAAAGATTATATATATATATATATATATATATATATATGATAACATTTGTGTAACTTTGGACACAAAACATTGCTATATATTGTTTCTGGATACATATATGTAAAAAGCATGAAAACATAGACTGGAAAGACACAGAATTGAGGATGTCAGGAGGCCCTGGGAGGGAAGGAAGTGGAATTAGGGGAAAGTAGAAAGGAGGCCTCACCTTTACCTCTAATTTTTCACTTCTGTTATATGAGGAAAAAAATTTTGAAGCAAAATTGAAAGTATTAATTTGTCTTTAATTTTATCCATTTCAAAAATCTTAAAGTGGAAAAGTCAAAGTTTTAGGGCCCCTTTTAATTAAAAACTTATGTAATTCAGATGCAATGTCACACTTACTTAAATAAAACTGTTCAAAAAGGACCTTTGGCTGTACTTATTTAGCATAGTCTTAAGGAACAGCTGTGTGACATTGGGCAAGTTACTCAACCTCTCTGGGGTTGAGTTTTTGCTTCTATAAAAGGGAGAAACAGAACCTGACTCCCAGGGTTACTATGAGGAAAAAATGAGTTAATATATAAAACTTCTAGAACAGTACCTTGCATGTAGTAAGCACCATTAAATATATCACTTACAAAGTGATTTCTATTTTTAATCTGTGTTTACATCAGTTATGTTCAATCAAAAATGAATATTTTATCCTATATATATTCCTTTATTCTCATTTTCATTCATGGTCATCTATTAAACCTAGTGCTCATGGGTATTCACGGGCATTTGACCAGGCAGGAAGATGTCCTCTAGAGAAGGAGTATTTGCAGGTTATTATCACATTATCATAAATGGATGAAGTCCACCTCTTTCCACTTCTTGCTTTGCCTCATCTTGCCTTCTCCTAAGACATCAAGGTTCTCAGTGCCCCTTTTCCAACATAAGCACACATACATTAGGTTCAACTTTTTATCTACATTTTTTTTAACGGAAACGTCTTAATACCCCACAACAATATGGCAACAGTAAATGTTACAGTGTTTCTTAAGTATTTTTAAGGTACAAGATAAAGACCAAGACTTACCTGAGGAAAATTATGTATTTTCACCTTCTAGAGAAAGAGAGAGCTCTTTAAAGGAAAGATTGTATAGACTGCAATTCGTGGTAAATACAGATGAGAACTGTGGTTTTACTAAGAAGTTGTACCAGATGTTATTTCCTGAGGCACACTAGAGTAGGTCTAATTCTAGGGTGAACAGTACCATAGCATTCAAAATAAGTCCCCTGGGGATCAGCCCTGATACACAATAACCATGAGAGAGGGTGGCCAGGTGAGCAAGGGAGCAATGGGAGGAAGAGAGGAAAGCTCCTGGAAGAGCAGTCTTAACTGAGTGCTGCAGTCTCTGGGAGTCAGCACTTACTGCTTCTGCCCACCTTTATCCTACAGGAAAATAATAACCACCATCACCACTTTCTGGACACTTACTCTATATGGCACTGGGCCTACGGTTTTTATAAAGGTTAGTTCTTTTAATCCTTGCCACAGTCCCTGAGATAGGTGCCATTATTATCCCTACCTTACAGATGAGGAGAATGAGGGTGAAAGAGGTTGAATAGGTCACCCAATCACACAGCTGGCAAGTGGTCCATTAGGATTCACATCTAAGCAAACAGAGTTGGAGCCCTGGCAAACTATACTCTGGGACTTCTAGTGGCAGGTATTTGCAGGCAGATGACAACAACACTCATCTGATCGCTTGTCTGACATGTGAAATAAGTCACTCATGTCAAGTTTAAGCAGTGCAGTGACATAGTGGGGTTTCAGCTCTAGGTAGATCATTCTAGCAGCTATGTGGAAAAAAGATGACTGGGTGTCTCCATTTTCAACTAAATACTCACATTTACCAGCTAAGTAACATCTTAAAGTGTAATTGAACTCTGCCTCTTCTTCCTGCTCTGCCTTCTCTATGACCCTGCCTACTACAGGCCCAAAACCATCTCAGCATTGTTTCTGCAGCTACACTGACCCCATGGTGTTCTTTAATACCATGTCTTTATCTCTCTTTTCAGCTCCCAGTCCAGCCAGAAGAAGAGTCAAAAGCTCTCAACACCTCCTGAGCAAAAATGTAAGGGAACTTCAATTTTCATCTCCTTTGACTGACTTTCATTGGACAAAAAAAAAAAAAAAAAAAGCCCAGCTGCTTTCCTTTCTCCACCCTGCTGTCAGTAATCAAGAGGGCTTTCTAGTTCCTATATGCTTCTGGCTACACTCCACTCTCTATCCTTCACTAACCGAAGGAATTCATAAATATCAACCAAACAGTCCTGAATTGGACCTCTTCCATTTTTCTCAAGCAGAGAGTGCAAATCTCATTTTATACATACATTTCTTTCTTGTTTAAACAGTCTACAATGTGGATATACCATTCCTACTTAGGTATTCTCCTACTGATGGTGTTTGTAATATTCCATTTTTTCACTCTTATAAGTAATATTTGCAATGAACTTACTTGTTCAAAATACTATAATTTTCTTTTGGGTTAATTCCTTGGTGTATAGGCCTCAGATAAGTGAAATGAGAATAGTTTCATTCATTCATTCATTCCTCAGATATTTGTGTTTCTACTATTCATGAGACACTGTGCTAGATACAGAAGATAGAATAGTGATGTTTTAAAATTTTTTCTACTTACAGCTTTGTCCCATATTGCCAGACTGCTTTCCAGAGTTCTGAACAATTCTAGGGCTTCTGGCAACACTACCTGTGTATCTACAACTTTACCGACATTGGTTTTCATCTCTTTTTTCTGTACTATGTTTTGCTGCTTTAATAAGCAAATATATTGCCTGAAAATTAATTTACATGTCTTTATAACCTGATGGTGCTGTGCATTTCTCATTTTATATACAAAATTATTTTTATAGATGCTTTTGATTCATCTCTGCACTTTATTTTAAAAGGTCAACTGTGAAATTATTTCCTCTTGATTATACTGGAGTTTGTTTGCACTTCTCTCCATCATAACTTTTCATAGACTATCATTTTGATTTTTCAGGTAACTTGTTTGTTTGTTTGCTTGTTTTTAATTGTGATTTAAGTGAAAGTTTACAAAGCAAAGTCATTTTCCATTCACAGTTCATACATATTTTGTTTCATGACATTGATTGCAATCCCCACAATGTAACAGCTCTCCTCCCAGTTCCTCCTTGCGGTTATCTTTGCCCTGTGTCCTTTTTTATGCATTCCTGCCCTCTGAGCTATCTCCCTGTGCAAATGCTGCTCTTCTGATCTTCCATGGCTGATAGCTCTAAGGAGTGCACCTACCTGGTGTAAAAGTTCACCTTATAGGCCTGTCCATTTTGTGGCTGTAAGCCATGGGAATGAGTTCAAGTCTAGGCCCAAAGGGTGACTAGGGTACATAGCTTTAGGGGTTTCACCAGTTTCTATCAGACCAGTAAACCTGGTCTTTTTTATGATTTTGAGTTTGGTTCCACTCCCACTCTATCCAGGATCTCCTATTTTGACTCTTTTCTGAGCGGTTAACAGTGGCGGCTGAGCACCATCTAGTTTTTCTGATCTCAGGGTCATGTAGGTTGAGGTTACCATGGCCCACTAGTCCCTTTGGACTAATTGTTTCCATGTGTCTTTAATTTTCTTCATTCTTTGCTCTGGACTAGAAGAGACCAATTGTTTCATCTTAGATGGCCACTTGCAAGCTTTTAAGGCCCAAGTAGCTACTCACCAAAGTAGGATGTAGAACAATGTTTTTACGTAGTATGCTATACCAATTGAGCTTGATGTCTCCTGAGACCATGGTCCTGAGATTTTTAAAAACCTACTCTCCATTTTTAAAAAACAATTTTAAAACCACTTTCCTGGGAATGAGAGGGTTTTGGCTTTGTTGTTTTTAACACAGCTATTACTTTTTAAATTGCAAAAGCAGTACATGTCCATTATAAAATTTTAAACATTACAAAGATACATATGTGTGTGTGTGTGTGTGTGTGTACATATACCAAACCCACTGCCATCAAGCTGATTCTGACTCATAGCAAACCCCCATTGTGCTTTCAACACTGTAAATCTTTATGGAAGTAGATTGCCTTATCTTCCTTCTGCAGAGCAACTGGTGGGATTGAACTACCAACTTTCTGGTGAGCAGCCAGACCCTGAGATGCTCAGAGCATAGTGGTTAAATATATAGACTTTAGAGTCAAATTGTTGTTTTTGTCAGGTACCATCAAGTTGATTCCAACTGATAGCACCCCCATGTGACAGAGTAGAATGGCACATAGGGTTTTCTAGGCTGTAATCTTCACAGAAGCAGATCACTAAGTCTTTCTCCTAAAGAGTCAAACTTCCCGGATTGAAATCCCAGTTCTACTAATTCCTACCTTCATGACCTTGGACAAGTTGCCTAACCATTCAGGGAATTGACTCCTTATATGAAAATGGGGATAATAAAAGTACATATATCAAGAGCCATTGGAAAAAGCAAATGACTTAAGACATGTAAAGTGCTTAGACCAGAGCCTCTCACATACTTAGCATTCAGTAAACACTGGTGTTTTTTAAGTGAAAATTTCTCATATAATAACATGTAATTATTTATTATGTTTCATTGTTAGATGCATACTGTTTTGCAATTTGCTTTTTTCACTTAATTGTCTTGACTCTTTCCATACCAGTTAGTATATATGGATCAACCATTCTTTATAGGGGCATGCCATTGTATGAATGTACTTATTTATCCAAACCAAATCATAAGGTTTCTAGATACATTATTTAACCAAATTATCATTAAATGGGATTTCTCCATTTTTTTCTATTATAAACAATGTCACAAGAAATATTCCTAAATATACGTTTATGCTCTTATGCAAAATCTTTTGAGGATAAATTTGCAGATATGGAAATGCTGGGTCAGAGGATATGAATCTTAAAAAAAAAAAAAATACAGTCTTTGCCAAATTCCTATGTTTCAAGTATCTTGTTCAGAACACTCTAGTCAATATTGTATGATATCAATCTTGTTAATCTTTAACAATATGATAAAAATATCATTTTGTTTTAATTTACCTTTCTGTAATTCTTCAACTTTTTATAGATTTATTGATTATTTCAATATTTTTTCCTATGGGTTTCTTACTCATGGCTTTTGCTCATTTTTTGTTAGTTGTATATCCTTTTCAAGGATTCTTGAAGGCATTTATGTATGAAGAAAGAGAAAGGCTTTTAATGGATAGAAAATGTCTTGGTTATGAGACAAGAAATTCTGAGCTTTATAATGATTCCTGAAAACTGAAGGCCACAATCTAGGAGAAAAATGCTCCTAACTTTTGAGATGCAACAGTGAAATTTGCTCAATGATGGAAAAGAAAGGAGTTGTTTGTAGATCATTTCGAGTAATTAAGTTTCACAACAGATCCCTTGGTCCTTCAGTCAAAGGTTTGAGTTTGGCTTTACTCTAAATTTGAGGAACTACAAGTCATTCATGATGTAAGGAAGATCTCTTAGGAATATTTACTTCTCAACCAAGTTCTTTTTTCTTTTTTTAACTCATTTACTTTGATTGTCATGAAAACATACACATCAAGACATTAACCAATATAATTTCCACGTTTACAGCTCAGGGACATTGATGACATTTTTCATGTTGTGCCACTATTATTGCTACCCTTTTCCAAAGTGTTCTACCACCATTAGCATAAACTCAATGCCCCACAAACAAAGCTTCCCCTTTCTCCCTCCCTTCTATGCCTGGTAACAACTAATAATCTTTGGTATATATATATATATATATATATATATATATATATATATACACCTATCTAGCAATTTTCTCTCCCCTCCCCTCCCATCCCTAGTAACCAACAAAGAAAGTTTCCTTCTATCCACATATAAAGCTTTCTTTATCTTTTTACAATAATGAATTAATACAATATTAGTCCTTCTGTGATTGACTTATTTCATTCAGCATAATGTCCTCCAAGTTCATCCACATTATGCATCAACCAAGTTCTTGCCTTGACTTCCTAATCTTAAACAACACTCCCCTCCATATGTCTAAATCACTCCTTACCCAAACACCAACTGGTTTTACAAGGACAGAGAGATGATGATGAAAGCAACGAAATCATTATACTTTGCAGTAATTAAAGAAGGCTTTAGGGAAGAAAATTCTCATGGGATTTAGAACCCAAACAAAAGACACAACTCTCAGTGGTGGACATGAAACCATAAGAGTATGAGATACGTAAAGCCACTGGGACATGGATCACAGCCTTCTGTAATACCCAGCTTACTTCAACACTTGGGGAATAAAATGCTATTAAAAAAAAAAAAATTACATACTGACTTATTGAGGAACACAAAATTAAGAATTGCTAAGATTTTTTAAAAAGACTCTTGCTTTCAGGGGGGTACTTTGAAGCATGTTCTCAAGCCTCCTAGGAGTAGAAATTTTTGAGAAAGACATATTTATGGTTTATGGTTTCTGCACTTGAAAATATTTTTATTTAGAGAAAAAAAGTGATTTGAATATATGAATACATACAAAATTGCTTGTGATCAAAAAATTGGATTAAAATTTTTATTTTAAAAAATCAGCTCTTATCTTCAAATATTCAATTTTCTTCCAGGTGGAACATCTTAGTAACACTGTCCAGCCTTTTGACCTGATTTTCCCTAACTAGTTAGCCTAATTCATCCTCTACTTGTAAAACTCAGTCCCAGCCACACAGACAATTTAAACTAGAAGGGACAAAAGTCTCTTAATTCAATGCCCTTATTTTATAAATAGGGAAAGGGAATCCCAAAGAGGAAAGAACCCTCTGTAATATCTTGTGTCCTTATGCAAGTGGTATTTTGCTTCCACTTGAGTTCCTTTTTGTCTTCTCTATTTTGGCAGCCTGAAAGCAATTGTGATTGGCTATCCTGCCCAGGAAAATCTTTCATATTTTGCAACTGGTCTAATGTACCAATGTTTATAACCCTCTTTGGTGCCAAATTCTTATTTGGATTTATTCCAACCCCGTGGCCTACCATAAGGAAGGTCAGCTTTTTTCCTCTACATGTCTCTTTCCTCTCTGAACCACCTTAAGTGTTGGTCTTACTCCTTTCTCT